GTACCTCCTCACCTATACAAGTGCTTAATTACTGACACTCTTCATATATACAAAGACTGTTTATTTTTAAATGTTCCCTTCTGTTGCATGACATTTCTACATGTTCCTAGAAAGCCCCATATTCTTTTAATCACTGAAACTTAAAATAGGTTTTAATGTCTGGTATGGCAAGCCTCTCTCATTTTTCAAAATGAGGGGGCCCATTTTAGCACCCTTTACTGTTCCAGGTGAACTTTTGTAAAGTTTCCCCAAATATTTTGTTGGTACTTTGATTGGCATTGTGTTAAATTTATTCATTAATCGACATCTTTACAATATTAAATCGTCCCACCTCTCTGCCAGCTGGAAATATTGTGTCCTTCCTCTGAACTCCCTTAGCACTTTATACCTTTTTAAAAATCACTTTCTAAACTATACCCACCCAATTTTTCAAACCTGAAACCTGAGAGTCGTCCCCTCCCCTCCCGCCCCCAACCTTCACCCCAACCAATCCATCATCAGGGCCCATCAGTGCTACCTCCTAAATTTCATCCACTTCTGCCTGTCCCCACTGCCGGCACTCTAGTCCAAGCTAGACCAGGGCCACCATACTGGCCTCCAACTGACCTCCCCGAATCCACCCTGGCTTCCCAGCCATTCTTGACACTGCAGCCAGAATGATCTTTAGAAGGCAAATCCAACCATGGCACTCCCCAGCTTTAAAATCTTCCAACAGCTCCCCTTGGCACTTGGGGTAGAGCCAAACATGCAGGCCCCACCCTCCCTTCCAGCTTGAACCCAACCTCTCTTTAATGAATTCTTTCTGCTCTGTTCATAGTGGCCATCAAATATACCCCATGTTCTTTCCCACCCCAGGGCCTTTGCACATACTGTTTCCTGTGTTTGGACTGTTCTTAGCCTTCCCTATCATCTCAGTTTAAGAAGGTTTGATTTCCCTGGCAGATATTCCCAGCATCCTATACAACTTCTTTTTAGGATTCATCACATTTGTAATTCCTTGTTCAAGTCAGTCTTCATGATGATAACACTAACAGTAATAATAAGAATAATATTAATAATAAACACCTTTAGAGTAATAAGATATAGTTGCTCTCTATCCCAAGTGCTTTACATGCAGAAGTGTTTTAGACTTGGCTCATATCAGCTCTTGAGAGCAAGTTAAATATTCAGGAATTCTGTGAGTCGGGTGATGTCATATTGGTAGCTTGAAATCAGCCATGGTGAGAGTACCTGCACCATGGAAATCATCAAATGCTATAAACCAGTGCTTTCTTGCCCCCTCCCACCTTTCCCTGGAGAGCTGGTTGTTAAACCTTTACCAGCACACCACTGTTTCCATGCACTGTGTTTTTTATTCTGTGAGGTAAGTAGCCCATTTTAAGGATGGGGAAACTAAGAGGTTAAGTCACTTAGGCAAGATTTAAGAACTATTTAGAGGCAAGCCCAGCTGTATGTAGTTCGCATTTACGTCACTACACTATAACGTGAAGAAGGAAGGCGGCTACTGGTCTGACTTGTCTGCAGCGTCCCCAGCACACAGCACAGTGCTGAGCATAGGGGGGATGCTCAATCAATATTCGCCTCATGAATAAGACAGTAATGTCTCAGCACATCAGGAAATCAGAGCTATTTGCTGACACCACGGTGCTAGAGAAAAGACACCAGGTGGGACGGCCAGAGACCTGAGTCCTTGTTCTGACTCCACCTTGAATTCAGTGGGCAATTGTGAGCAAGTCACTTCTCCCCGGGTCTCGGTTTTCTCATCTGCAAGAGAGGAAGTTTGACCAGAGGATCTTCAATGTCTCATCATCTCTAAAATTCTTTGAATTTACACGTAACATAACATCTGTTATTTTCACGGTGATGTGGGCTCCTCTTTTACCAGGCACTGTGTTTCCACGAACTGTTCTATCTGGCAAGTTTCTACTTTGCTTTTGAAATGTCGCTTTATCATCACCTCCTCTGGAAAGCCTTCACTGATTCCCCTGTCAGCCACTCCCTGCTCAGGGCTCCTACAACCCCTTCTGCTTTTACATCTCTTATGAGACTCAACCCAATTATTGTAATCCACAAGTGTCTATCTCCCCTTCTAGAACTGTAAGCTGCTAGAGGCATGCTGATATCAGTGATTTTGTGCCTTGAGCATAATTTGGAGCTGATGTTGGTTCAATGAATGTATGGATTACACTGATACCTGGGTCATACCTTCAGAGACTCAGATCTAACTGGTCTGGGGTCCAGCCTAAGCGTTGGTGATTTAAAGTGCAGCCCAGGGTGAGAACCTCTGCTTTCAGAGGAAATTTACACATGTACATGCACATACACACACATGCACGTGCACACAACACCTGACTCCAAAATTCTGTAGCCCCACTGTGTATCGAGGTTGTTTGTTACTTCGGAAGAGAGTTGAAGATGGTTGCAACGTGATTGTTATTAGTCCTCCCATCTCCTCACAGGCCAGACCTGTCATCCATATACAGTGGTCGCATTTGAGAAAACAGATGCCAGAGCCCTCTATGTGGGAGCGTCCTGGAGAGAGACCCGTTCCTCACCTGATGTCAGGGACAGCCCACGCTCCTGGTTTCCTCCTACCCCGCTGACCACTCCTTCCCAGTCTCCTTATCATCCTGAGCCCTAGGCACGTTGATGCTCCTGAGGCACCATCTTGAGACTTCCTCCATCCTACAGCTACACTCCCTCCCATCTCATCAGCTCAGTGGCTTTAAACCCTGTCTGGTTGCTGACTGCTCCTTTGTCTAACGTCCTCAGTGTCTTCCCCTCCAAGTCCCTTGTCCTTCCTGCCTTTCGTACCTCATCTCCCAACATTCTCTTCCCCACCAACACCACTCCAGCCACACTGGCATTCGTGCTTTTCCCTGCTGATGCCACGCTTGTTCCCACCTCTTGGTCTGTAATCTGGACACTCGTCCCCACTTCATTGACTGCCAGGTGCTGTTCTAGCGAACACTGGTGAACTATACAGAAAACACAGCCCTGACGGGTTCCAGGGACAGAGGCAAGGCAACATGAATGGAGAGGAGAGGTCAGAGGGATACAGAGGGAGGGGGGACAGATTTCCACGCTTGTGATAGTCTCCTCTCAATGGCCCTTCCTCAGAGAGGCCCTCCCTTATTCTCTATAGCTTACTTATCACTATCTTAAATTATATCATCTATTTTCTCTGTTGTCTGTCTCCCCCTCTAGAACTTAAGCTTTGTTAAGACAAGGGCCTTTATCTTGTCCACCTCTAAATCCCAGAGCCTAGGGTTGTGCCAGCCCATGGCAGGCATGTAATAAATACTCATTTGAATGAATGAATAAACTGTGTCCCTTTGGGAGCTCGAACAGTAAATATTTTATTGTGACTGCAATAGAATCTTCCATAGATCCACAAAAAAAAGAACCCAATCAAGACGTGCCTATCTCAAGAGAGAAAATTCAAAGGAGAAATTTTAAATAAATATACCTAAAAACTACCCTCTTCCATCTACTCCTGATTGATATCTAACCAGACGTTTACATTTAAACAAGAACAGGAGGCTGAGTACAAATGAGAGAGGGATACACTATAAAATAATATTATTAGAAATTCATAGCATGACTGATACATTTTCTTGGTTTATATATTTCTTTCTCTATATCCCTTATTTTCTGTTTCAAAGTACAATATCATAGTTGATCTCCCTGCCTTCAGTTGTTCCCCCAACTAACCCAGTCTTTATATCAACAGCATTCATTTTTCCTAAGAGAACGCCTTTGAGTTACTCTCCTGTGCATGGGAACCCTTAATGTCGTCTTATATCTTGCCAAATCAAGTACAAACTCCCATACAAGGCTTTCTTTTTTTTTTCATTTTTTAAAATTGTGGTAAAATACACACAAAATTTACCATCTTAAACCATTTCTAAATGTACAGTTCAGTAGTGTTAAGTCCATTCACATTGTTGTGCAACCAATCTCCAGAACTCTTTTCATCTTGCAAAAATGAAACTCTGTACCCACTAAACAACAACTCATTCTCCCTTCCCCCAACCCCTGACAACCACCATTTGACTTTCTGTCTCTATGAATTTGACCACTCTAGGTACCATTCAGGGCTTTTAAGTTATTTTTTGGTTTCCTTCCCTCCCATGCCTAGCTCATCTAGGCTAAATTCTGGTCTAAGTTCTACCCAAATGCATTGCCATAGCTGTTGAACCAGCCCTCACTCCTCCAGGGACCTGCTCACCTCACCCTCTGCACATTTGCACATGTATTCCCGTAGTTGGAATATTCTTCCTTCTTTTCTTTGCCTATCCAAATGTTCCCCATCCTTAAAAATAGTCTTCAATTTCCATCTCCTCCTTGAAACCCCATCCCACTACTCTAGGCCACACTAAACTCTCTCTTCCTGGAACTCATATTCCATTCATTGTAAATACCAAACATTTGAATATTCTAATTCTCCAGTTGTTCTGGGCAACATACCATTACCTCCTTCAAAAGTTTCTAAACTTCCAAATAAGGACCATGTCTTATTTGTGACTGTACCTTCCACCTAGAAAAAGTATTAAATACAAAGTAGACTTTCAACAGGTTGAACGAATACTTTCATAAAATTTTAAAATAATTTGATTCACTCTGCAGCATCATTGGGTAATTTTCTTGAATTCTTTTCAGGAAAATTTAGGTATAGCCAGCAACTTTGTCTAATTTTTCATCTGATTGCTTGGATAAAAGTCTGTTCCAGCACGATGCTAGCAGAGTTAAATTTATAAGGATGGATTCCTGAATGAGCTGCTATGACCCTCTCCCAGACTGTGCAGAAATTGTTTAAGTAGAATACAAATTTAGAATTGAGTCTACACTTCCTCATTCACCACCTGTCACCCAGTCCACTCTTCCCACACTACTAGAAAGACCTGGAAAAGTTGGAATGATTATAAAATGGGGAGACTGGGAATTAAAGCCAAGGTGAACCAGGAGCCAGTCTCCCTTGGAGTGGTTTTCTCACCCACCTGTGTAAATGAACCTCCCTGGAGCTCCTTTGCAGAACTGTTTGGATTTATAAGATAATGTCACTTCTACTACTCCGGGGATGTGCCGAGGAGGAGTCTGCACTCTGATGGCATGAGGAGTTATTAGCTGAGGAATGAACAGGCAGGAAAATAAAATACCTATTATACAAGTTATCACCGAGGATACTGAGGACACGAGCATCTCTCACTGTTACTCCCCTGGGGCAAAGTGGTGTACTCACGGCGCCCCAAACGCTCTGAAGGCCCTGTCCCTGTGTCTTACATGTTTCTCCCTCTCACCCTGGAATTTCTTCTCAACCCCACCTGTCTAGGTTCTGTCCTTCCTGCTAGCCCAGCTCAAGTCCCTCCCACCTCTTGTGCTGACTCCACCCCCATCCCTGTAATCACTCCCTCCTCCCAATTCCTACACTGCTATGACCTTACATATTGATTTGGCAATTTCCATATCAATTTAGCACCGCTACTTATCTTTTTGTAATGTGTCTTGTTGGTTTTCTCATTATGAAAGTAGAACATATCCTCTTTAGAAAATTTGGAAATTACAGAAAAATATAAAGAAAAATATTAACATTGCATAGCCCAGAGACAACCATTATTAATCTTTGGTCTGTTTCCAGTACTTTTCTATGGATGTGTGTTATATAATTAGATTTTAAATCCATAGACACTGTTGTCCTGATTTTTTTCCCCTTAGCATTGTAGTGCAAGCATGCTCCCTACTCCTGTGTCATTAGAATTTTTTCAAAACATAATTTTTAATGGTAGAATGATATTCCATCATTTATTTAACCATTCTCCTATTATCCAATATTATAAATAACACTACAATGATTATTTATCTTTTTAAGGGATCCATGACTGCAATAAATTGTAGTTTACATGTCTTTTAATCCTTGGCTCCCTGCTCATAGTAGGTACTCAATAATGTGTGTTCATGTTGCTGGTGCTCCAGGAATTACTAGTTTTTCCAAATCAAAATAATCTCTGGGCCAAAGAAAGTCAGCGAAGCAAGTTGCCTTTGCCTACCTCGCTCCATACAAGCATGGTCCCAAACACCACTTGGAGGCCGTCAAAGAAGTTGTCCCCAATGATGATGACCATGGCTCCTCCTGTGGTCCAGCCTTCACTTGGGCTAATGGCTTTGATGCAGGGGGTAGCTAAGAAGATAGGGAAGAAAAAGTCAGGTCTGTCCTTTGGTGGTTGAAGTTTGGAGTTTTGGGGATTGGCTGCGCTTGAAAACTGTTGGTCATTCCAAGAAGTTCAAGTTGAGCTGTGCTGACTTGCCATCATTCCCTAATTGGTTGTTGCTTTTCACCAGGTCATTAAAGCCTAATGAGTTGACCACTATGTATGAAAACACAGAACACTTAGCTAATTGTGCAAAGGGTGTTTTTAAAACTCTGTTGTTTTTCCCCATATTTTTATAAGTTGATCACACTGGAAATGTGTAAATCCCTTTTCTCTCCCCACCTCCTCTGCCCCAAGATGTGAAGATTTACAAGGCCTGTTAATGTGCTAGAGAGAGAAGCAGAAAGCAAAATCTACCACAATTGAAGGTTTTTTTCACCTCTATCAAGAGACAATTTCTAATCACTTTCCTAACTTTGTAGGGAGGATTTTCCCCCTTCTTCCATATGTTCAAGGCCTCTGGACTTTATATCCCAACAGGAACCCAATATGGTTTTCAGGCCATAACTAAAGTCAATCCATCACTCCATTTCCAAAGTTGACAGGGTCAAAGGTGGAGGAGAACTTTGGCAGGACTCCAAAAACATGAGACCCCTTTGAACAGCCAGTCAATCACATCCAATCAGTCAAAAGAAACTGGATGGGTTCCTAGTTCTGAACCCTGGGATTTTCTTCTCCCCTTTCAGTGCCCACTGTGGGAGAATTAACACCACTCCAAATTCTTTACTGATTCAATCATTTTCTTTCAGTTCATTAATTCCTATTTAAAATGATACAAGACACATTTCAAGGGCCGAGTTGGGGTGGGGGCTGGTGGGCAGTATTTAGCAAAACATCACCCCAAAATAGCAGCCTAGCTTAGCCCTTCATTCTATGTGACCAGGCCTTCCTACCCCAGTGTGTCGTGGAGTATGGAGGGAAGGAGAAGGACTTCGATGGAATTTCTTCACGTTTGTCAGGTATCTTTCTCAATATACTTTAATTTTTCATACAACTTGAAGTTTAACAGTTACCGGTATTTCTAGTTACTTTAATGCATTTTGGAAAACTACCCAGAGCAGACCATGATTTCTTCTTGTCCAAGCAAACAAAAATCAATTAGTGTCAGTTTCATTCTGTACATTGTTTTGTCTTGCCCACGATCTGTTTAAGGGCACATCTGACACTTATTCATACATGTCTCGCTCTGTAATGTGCCTGTTTAACCAAGATGTCACAGGCCTATATTTGCCTAAAATGCCCATCTAGCAAAAAGAAAATCACAGAACTGAATGGAAGAGACAGCGGGCACAGGGGCCTGAACATCGGCTGGGAGACATGTGGGGGTTACAACAGCAGGCGAGAGTCCACGTTTATAGCTTCCTTTTAAAACCCACATGGTCTTCTGTAGTTTCTCCACTCCTACCCCGTGACGTAAATTTGAAATTCAGACAAGGAAGTTTGTGGAGAACTTCCATTGTCTACCATTCTCAGCCCACAGCAGACAGCCCTACCTTCCGACGGGTCCAGTCTTCTTGCTCTCCGCCCGTGCTTCGAGTTGTTATGAACAAACATATTGTCGGAAACAGCCAGTACATGCCCATCCACATTCACCGTTGTTGACAACACAACCTGCATATTTAAGGTAAAGGTGGGGATGGAGTTAGTTTCACACAAAGTAGTACAAGCAGCAGAATTCTTTTTTGCCAGACTTCCACATGGCTAATGAGAGACGGCACAGAATGTGGGGACAGGGCCATGCTCGCAGCATCTCAACAGGTCATCCTCCTCCTGTAATCATGGCAGAGCTTTACGGAAAAAGAGGCTGCCCTTTGCCCATTTGTTGTCATATATTTGTATTCAAACTATGCCCAGGTGTTGAAGCGGGGAAACTGGCCCTCTGCCCGCTGGTTCTAGAAACCTAGTGCACTATCAGAGGACTTGGATGATCACTCCCAGTTGACCCTCAAGCAGCAGTCACAACGAGGAGCCAAGTGTGTGCGAACAGGAACCTAAGATCTAAACACTAGCTGGGAAGTCATTTCTCCAAGCTCAAGAATGGGTTCTTGCACTTCTGCTGTGTGCTCGGGTAATGCTGGGCATGGACATGCTGCTCCATGAGTTGTTTGTGGTGTCCCCGCCCACTAGAGAGCAGTGGCAAAGATGCTCAGATTTTTGGTGAAAAGATAAGGTTGCTGGAATTCAGTGTTGAAAATGCAGGACATTTAGCTTCTCACCAGAGGACAGGGAAGAGACGGGTGTGGAGTAGTGGGAGAGCACGGATTTGGAGTAGGAGAGAACTAACTCAAATCCCACACCTGCTTCTTCCGAACTTGTAACTTTGGACAAATTACTTAACTCATCTATAAAACATAAACAACAACGCCTATCTTGAGGGCTGAATGAGATAAAATGAGATCATGCACGTAAAGCATTTGGTGCAGGGCCTGGCACGTGCCAAATTAGGATGAGTTCCCGTCCTAATTGCCTAGCCTCTGCCTTGTTTGACTAGTCAATAGGACAGAAGACGATATTCACTGAGCCCCTCCCATAGTCGAAGCTCTATGGAAGGCTCTAGAAAGGGGAAGACAGGGGCTACGTATGTGCCAAAAGTTACAAAGCATGGCCCCTACCCACATAGAGCTTACTTTCAGGCTGGACAAACAGAGCTGACACATAAAACAAGTAGCACACAGAAAGGAACTGAATTGAGTTCTGTGTGTGCTGCACATCAGGAGTGCAGGAGAAGTTCAAAGAGGCGATCAGCCAAGGCTGGAGCAGTCAGAAAGCGCAGCAGAAGTGAGTGGATTTGAACGTACCCACCACCTACTTACTTGACCTGGGAAGTGAGCCATCCTAGATGTGAGCCTACTTGTCATTATGCATGGCAATTATTTTTTTGAGAAAGGAACTTGTTATATACATATTCATGCATATGTATAGACCTTTTGAGGAAAGGGATTGAATAGGTACATAATGAGGAGCTGTGTTTAAAAATGACACATCCTGTCTACTCCCAAATTAAATTTGTTGATATTCTACTTATAATTTTTCTGCCACCCCTTCCTTACTTATTAATAAAGGGGGGGGATCTTGACCCTGTCTTACTTCCCAATATGAAATAAAATTCATTAGATGGCACTTAAATTTTTTTTCTATGAATAATTTCAAGCAAACAAAATAAATAGATTAGTATAATGAATCCCCCTTTATAGGTGAAATTTACATGATTGAAATGCACAAATCTTAGCTGCACCATTTTGACAAATGGATACATCCAGGTAATCCATACCATCTCCCAATATAGAACATTTCCATCTCCCGAGAAAGTCATCTTGTGTCTCTTCTCAGTCAGTCCTACCCACTGCGCCCCACCAAGGCAACATTCTTCTGATTTTTTTAACTTTAGAGTTTTAGACGGTATCTTTCAAATTTATATATATATATATATACACATATATATTTTTTTAATATAATAGGGGTTTGGGAGAACCCCTAAAACCATGAGTCCACAAAGTATTTCAACTAGCCTGGTGCCATGGGCATAATAGTAGAATACAGGAAGTTTTACACAGATATAAGTGGGCTTCAGTCAATCAACCCGAAAGCATTCACTGAGTTCCTGCTACATGTCAGGTATTGTGTCAGGCCCTGGACGTTCAAAGACACAGAAAAATGTGTTCCTAGTCAGTTACATGTCTCTCCCACACTTCAATTCCTCAGTTGTGAATGCACTACAGGTATGGTAGCTACAGGTACAGTAGCTACAGGTACAGGTACGGTGTCCCTGCCTCTCTATGACATCAGAATGACCGTAAAGGAACTTCAGTTGTCATTCAGAAAATTATTATCAATATAATTGCTCACAATTCAGGGATGCAGCCTGTCTAGCTCCAGGTCTGTTTTGAATTGTGTCTATGTTAACATGTTAAGAGTCTGGGCAAAGTCCTTCCAGAAAGTTCCTGTCATGTGGTGGCCACCATAAGACCGAGATATGCATCCCTCTCCACAAGTGCACAGAGGCACGAGTTCTTATCAGGGCCACCTCAGCAGAGCACAAGATGGTATCGTAGTCAAAGGGAGAGAGAGGCTGAGTCTCCTGGTCAGGGGTTAAGATGAACGTGAAGGTTGAAAGCATCACCTCTGCATATGCTTGCCCTCTGAAAATAATAGGAGAAGGTGGAGAAAAAAGAGGAATTAGACCACTTTTATAAATTGTGTGCGTGAATGGATTTTCAAAGACATAGCTATCATCTCTGGAAACAAACAAAAATGAGAGGGCGCTTTGGGCTTTAATTGTTAATGGGCTGTACTAGGCACACTGAGGGGAACCCAGGCCTGCCTGAGGATTCTGTGGATGTGAAGAGCCTTCTCCCTGAGACCACTTTAACTCATTCCACAAGCTTCTTGTCACACTGTACTTTAATGCTCCTTGTGCATTCCTGCCACAAAATATGGGGCTTTCTCGAGCCAGCTGATTTCATCATCGTCCATTTGGGTGGAGTGAGACTCAGTTCCAAAGTGAACATTTCCCGAATGACATACCCTGATGGTTCAGATGCACTTCATTATTTTCTATTAACAATGGAAATAAATTTTAATCTCTTGCTGGCTAGCACTGGCCTCTCATGACAGCAAGGGAATTAACCTGAATTATTTCAGTGTCTGCAAAATTTATTACAAGATTTTAAATTATGTCCAAATGTATGTGCATGTGCGTATATATATATATATAGATATGAGACAAGTTCCCGTTTTTAATATCCTAAATATCTTAGACTGTGAGGTATCTAGAAGAGACTGCCAATTAAACTGAATTTGCAAAATGTAAAGGATTTAATTCACAAACTCCACCACATGAAACCAGATGTGTTTAGCTGTTGTTCTTATACATGGAGACACACAAATATTGACTTTTACATACATTCACTCTACTTCTGGAAGAATGAACTGCATTATGGAGGTGAAGATACATTTGGTACATTCAAAGCTTCGAATTTAACTTTCTTCACTGTTTTCTGATGAATGATGACAACAATGATATTATTCTATTCAGAGAAGTTAAAGTTTCTGAATGTTTGAAGACTAAAGGAAGTGGAATGTGCATTCCAGCATCGTCTCACTCCCAGGCCTTCCCCTTCCACAAGCCAACTTCTTTCCCCTAGTGAGTATTTCCTGGGTCATGAAGGCTGACCTTTTCCATCTGGAATCAATCAGTCAACCCCTGACAACTTCCTGAAACACCTCACTCCATTTCCTGTTCTCTCCCCCTTCTCTCTTTCCCCCTGGTTTGCTTCACTCTTCAAAACTGCAGGCCACAGCAGCTTAATGTTAGAGGGTCAGACACAGTTAGACTCCAAAACACTACACAAGGACACCTTTGACCTTCAAAAATCTTTACATCTTAGCTAAACAAATCAAGGTCAACATTTCTTACCATTACCTTGTTAACTATTTGTATGCATCTTTGCCAACGATCTTCTGATCATATAACCATCAATACCACTTGTTCTCCTAAGATCATAAACTAATCTGTTTTAGAACTAGCAAGTTTAGTATTGACAAAGGGTGCCATTTGGAGGTACCTGAAACTAAAAATCAAGAGTATTATAACAAACATTTGCAGAGTATTCCATACAAAAGAACTTCTATGCCTCATCAGTGTCTCCTATCACCTAAACCTGATACCTAGTCATTTCTAAAGCTGTCAGGCTCTCTTGGCACTACCATTCTGCTGGCACAGCCCGAAAGGATGCCAATTAGGAATACAGATGTCCATAATTTGTGTGGGATGGACCCCCGGTTTTTGCTGTTGACACTGGTGACAGCTTTCATTCGTTTCTCATAGTTGGTATATCCGTATTTCAGCTCAAAGCTCCAATAGGAAAGACTGTCGATCTGAAAACTAAACCATTGTGGATTATAGCTCTCCTCAACTGATACATTTCAATTCCACACAAAAGCAACAACAAATTATATTCATGTAAACGTTATTTATGATATGGTACCTTTAAGCCGAGATTCCAAGAAAGAGAAGTAGGGATCAAATGAAATTGCTTGCATTTTTTAAAGTGAAAGTAGTTTTTCACTTTTTGCAATTCCTTATTTTGCTTAGTGTGGTCTCTAATTTTTGGTGAGGCCAGATCAATAAACATAGACCAACTGGAGAGTAACGGTGCAGTTTAATTTTGAATCATCCAATTAAATGGCAGTTTTAGCGGATTATACAGAAATAGAATCATGAATAAAAAGTTTGTATCTCCTCTTGAAAAATACAAGTTTTAAGAACAAAATCTACAACCGTGTTAGCAATCTGTTAAAAGTACTCAAGACAACTGATTGGCTTTCTCAAATTATATTTTTCTTCTCATTACCCCAAAGTACTCCCACGTCCCTCACTCTAATAATTTATACAAAGCAGGAGCTGAGTTGTAAAGAGCTTTTTCCTGCCTATAAAAGGCCACGGTGGGAGTTACCCTTTAGGTGGACACATCCGTTAATCTGCCTGTACAACTCATTTTCCAGCTGAGGAACTGTTTCATTGGTATCAGAATGATAGCATGTGGCATGGAGATTTTTACCAAACCTACTTATTCCCACTCTTGGGTTATTTGTATGCCTCACTCTGAAAT